GCTGATAAAAATAGAAGATTGAACAAAATGCTTCCAAGACTTTTCATACATATACTTGATCCTCATAAGAACTCTCTGAGGGAAATGGAATAAATTATTATTCCTATTTTAAAGATAAAGAAACTGAGGTGAAGAGTGGTTTAAATGACTTGCCCAAAGTCTTCCAGCTAGTAAGTACCTTTTGTCACTACACCTCACTGCACCTCACTGCACTGCCTTTATGGGGTTGCTATTATCTTTCTCCTGGTTAGGTGGGTCTTGTCTCCCTGGACCCTCTGTCTGGGGTCCTGACAAGAACCTTCTATTTCTTTGATCTTACCCCATAGCCTTGACCAGAGCTGGACATATGCTGCCTTTATCAGTGCTATAGCTCAAGAGGTTGAATTAATAGGATCACAAATTTAGAGCTGGAAAAGAAGCCATGGAATATTACACACACACACACACACACACACCCCATCCTATTTTGCAGATAAAGAAGCAGAGGCTGAGAATCATTAAGCATTGTGTTTAGGGTCATAAACCAGTATCTGAAGTAGGATTTGAATCCAGGTCCTTCGTATTCTAAGCCCAGGGTACTATCCACTAGCATGGCTTCTGAAATCCAGGCTCTCCCACCCCAAAGGGTAAAGATATTTAATTGTTCTCTGAAATAAATGTATTATGGATACCCCACAGGATGAAATAAACTTATTATGACCTCTCCCTGGGATTAGGTGGTGATGACCTGAGAATTCATTGCTGCCAGGCTTTTCCACATGGTCAAAGACACATAGCGTTTCCCTTCTCTTCCTTTCCCACTACCCACCCCCAACAAGCCTGCCAACAGCAAATATGTGCTCCTACACATCTCTAGTTTAACCAGACGGTTCTCTCTGTATACAAAATCCCCAAACAACATTCCCAGTTGGCCTTCCTACCTTCACTAAAGTTCTGTTGAGTTTTTATTGAGCCTCTTTGGAGACCTTGAAGAAGGGAAGGGTAGAACCTTCCCAAATTCTGTCTCCTCCCTACACAGGAAAGAATATTTTTAGCTCTGGGGCAATGTAGGATTTTAAAATTCAGCTTCATCAGTAAATAAATCAATAAGCATTTATCAAGTGTCTAATATGTGCCCAGCATCATTCCTGGTGCTGATGACAAAGAGACAAAAATGAAGTCTCTGACCTCAGGGTGCTTACATTCTATGGAGGAGACAATATGGACACATATAAGTAAGCATAGACAATATATAGAAAAGAAATAAGGGCAAAATTCTAGCAGGTTTTAGGTTCTTCCTTAGTTTTCCAGATGCAAAGTAATCTGCTTGCCACAGACACTTGTCTCCTCTTATAGGACTTATTTGGCAGCAGTTGTCGGAGGAAAGCTCAAAGGACTCTTTTGGAAGTGAGGTCCATTCATGCCAGGCCCTGCTCTTACAAGAAAATGTTTGGCTTCATCATCTTCATGTGAAAGAATGTCTCCTGTTCTCAGTAAATTATAAATAGTGAGGCTGGGTGAGAGAGAGATGGATGGGGAAGGATTTTAAAGGCATGTAACTTGCTAACCCTGGGGTCTCTATTAGGAGTTCAGGAGTTCAGTCCCTTTCTGTTGACCCAGGCAAGTTTTATAAAGATTAGCCTTTAAGGTCTTACCCTGAAAGCCCAAGCACTTCCCCTGCCCTCCCAGCTCAGCTGTTAGTTTCAGCGGGAATGCCCACCAATGTAGCTGTTTTCATGAACATCTGTGGAAGGGATGCATGCAACATCTGGACTCTGTGGTTCTGGGATCCTGGAAGAAGGGAGAGGTGAAGTGAAACAGGACATGTCTCTCACTTCCACTTCACCCCAATCCAGCTGCATCTTGATCATGGGAGCAGAAGACCTCTCTACCCTGGACCCCCAGGCTAGGGGAAAGAGAGGACAATTCTGAGCTAGCAAAACAGCTAAGTACAAGTTTCCTACTGACTGGAGCACTAGTTTGAGGACTATAGGGCCAAGAAAGGACAAACCCCAGCCCTTACCTCTGGAGTCCTTCTCCACCGAGCTTCACACACACTGTCTTCCGGGTTCCTGGGGCCAGTGAATGGAGCAGAACCTTCCAGCATCACCTTTTCCCTAGATTCCAAGCCCACCCTGCCACCTTCCAAACTTTGGATCCTGGGGTAATATCTGAATGCGCAGTCCTCCCTTCCCCAATACCCCATTTCCCCTTAGTACATCTGATCAGCACCTCTGGCTCCAGGGAACTAAACCTGAAAGGGAGGGGTTCTGGATTAGTGCCTAGGGACCAAACCTTTCTCAGTCCTCTTTGATCTGAGGCCAGAACAAAAGGAAAGGGGTGCCCTGGGGCTGGGGGGAAGGAGGCCTTGGCCCTTTCTGGTTTGGACTAGTGTTTCTAACAGTGAAACAGAGTAAAGCGACCAGATTTGATTCGAGGCTGGATACTCCCCCTTCCCTGTCAAACCATGCAGGGGTCTGTCTATATTGGAGACAAAATGTGCATTTAAAATAAAAAGATTGAACTTTTATGGAGGCAGATTGAAGTAGGGTTTTTTTTTCCCTAACAGGAGCATAGAAGATGGAAATGTATCAGTGTAGCTATAGACACAACCGATAAAGTGTAGACACTCCACCCAACTGAAGTTTTCACTCACTATTTCAAAGAGAAGAATTAACAATACGTAAAAAAAATAACAGAAGTATGAGTCTGAAGAGCTTGAAGGTACTTTAGAGACCATCCAGCTGAACTCCCTCATTTTTTGGTGATTATTTTTTCACAGGTTGCCAAGACTAGATAATTTGTCACCTAGTGGTCATCCTACTGATCTGAAGCCTCCATGTACTTTGCTAGGTTGGGCTTCAGACTAACTTCTTTCAGTCGGTCACTGGGATCATAGTCGAAGCCTTTGGAGTACAGTAGAACCCATTTCCTTACCAGGAGTCATGAGAAGAGGTCTTTGGAAACTGAGGTCCAGTAAAGGGAAGAGCTTGTCCCCACATGCGACTATTATCCCACACACCACAGTTTACAGATTGCACTCACAACATCATAGTGTGGTGTGTACCTCAATTATAGTTCTCATTTTAAAGAAGAAAACAGGCTCAGAGAGAACCAGACCTTCTAAGGCACTAGGATTCTGCCCACACTAATCCTCCCACAGCTCCCACCTCCACACACCCCTCTCTGTCAGGCCCTTTACACACCCATATATCCATCGCCTTGGTTCCCTGTCTGGGAAGAACAAATGGGTACTAGAGCTGCAGAAGTCGCCTCTAGGGATGCTTTTCCCGGGATTCTGATGTTTATTTTTATTTTTGATGATATGTTAAGGGAAGGAGGAAGCATCTTCCTAAATCCCCTTTTCTCCCTCCTACTCCTTAGCTCGGTTTGAGCCCTAGCTGCCAAGCGGAAGCACAGATTAGGGAAAAGATGCTCCTATCTGGTAAGCTTTCATTCTTTCCTCTCAAACTCTCAGGTCCGAAACGCAGGTCTATGTCCGGTCCTAAGCAGGGGGAGGTCCAGGGTCACTGCCCAGGCATCGTGGATCACCCAGAGCTTCGGGAAGGCTAAGGGGAGCAAGCCCAACCCCTAAACCCACGCCCCGGCGTTGGCGGGTTTCTTTAAATAGAAACCTATACTTTGCTCCTCACTCGCCCAGGGCGAAGGAAGCCGGGACTAAGCTTTTATGAAGGTTTAAATGCAAATGGACGGATGAGTGACGGCAAGGCAGCCAACATCAAAGGCTCCCCAGAGTCTCCGCATTAATGAGCCTCTTTGTTTCCCCGGGCGAGATTACAACAGGTTTCCCTCTCTCAGCCAGGGTTTTATCTGTGTTCTGGCGGGCGCTAAATCTCTGGCCCAGCTTTTCACCAGCAAACTATGGGTAGCAGCTCCCACAAGCCCAGGCCCTAAGCACCTACACAAGGTCGTACACACACACATACAGACACGCAGATACAGTCCCAGAGCGCTAGAGTTCGGTGGCCTTGGGGCTGCCGCCTCCAGCAGTACTGAGGCAACAGGCACCCAGCGAGTACTGCCTAGCGGTCTATGAACCCTCCCACCCCCTCCAGCGCCTCGAGGACCCGGGTATGTAAGCCTTGGTATGTATCCTTGCGGGCACAGGCGGTGCGGGGGAACCGGGTGAAAAAAGGTGCCGCGAAGGTGTTTATTCCCACGTTCCGGGGGCGGGGAGCAGCTAGGACAGCCAAGCACTTTCTGCTGGTCCGAGAGATGAAGCTCAGCGGGGACTGGGCGAAGGCTGGGCAGGGCTGAGCCCGGATGGGACAACTGGACCGAAGTCCCCAACAGATTTCTAGAGAAGGCCAGCGAATTCGGGAGCCTAAGTCTTAAACCGTTACAAGCTGGCGCCGTCCCTGCCCTAGCCCCCGCCCCCTCGCCGAGCTGTGACTCCCGGGGGCCCTCGTCCCCACCGGATCCCTCGGACGCTAAAGCCCTTGTCGTGGCCCCTAGGGTGTACACACACACACACACACACACACACACACACACACACACTCCGTGCGCATGACCCCCATGCACAGAGGCTGTGTGAAAGTGTCTGTATCTGACACGCAGGCACTCGTACACACAGAGACAGAGAAGCCGTCTTGCAGCCTTTCACAAACGAGACTCCCAGGCTCTGGAAGTCACTGCCTCCCCCACCCACCTTCCTTCCAATCCCCCATCAAGGCACAGTCTCCTCCCTCTTCCCCTTCCATCCCAACCTGGTGACCCTGGGAGTGGGGAAAAGTCTCCCAGAATTTGTGGGAAGAGAAGGGGGTATTCAGCTAGGGCTGAGCTTGCCTCCAACGACTGTCCCCTTCCTTCCTCAGCAACCCTCCCTACACACACCCCCTCCCTGTGTCTCCGCAACCACCCCAAGCAGACACTCTGGGAGCACTGGCCCTTTAAGGCTACTCCTCCCTTCCACCTTCTTAGCTTTAGTGTCCGGGCCCCTAGCCCCGCCCCTTCCCCTCATGCCCCGCCCCGTCTCTGTCAATCATCGGCGGCGCCTTTGATGTCTGGAGCTCTGCTCTCTCCAGGAGCTCCGGCAGCACTCCGAGCCTCCCGCGCCTCCAGCTGCTACCGCACCTCCAGCCTCTAGTCTGACCAACCCTCCCGCTCGCTTTTTCACGGAGCCCCCACTTCTAGCCCTTACCCTCCCCCAGCCCCGGGGGAGCCGGGCGCCGGCGCGGGCGGCACACGGGTCAACCTCAGCCCTCCCGGGCAGAGGCGCGGAGAAAGGACCCTCCCCACTACCTCCCCCACAGGCCCCGAGGGTGCCTCAGAAGTTATCCACAGGCAGTTTGGAGTGGAAAAGTGAACCCCAGCGGAGAGAGAGCGGGAGCGAGAGCCCCGCAGCCCCAGCCCGATCATGCCCCAGCTGGGCGGAGGCGGAGGCAGCGGGGACGACCTGGGCGCTACAGACGAGATGCTAGCCTTCAAGGATGAGGGCGAGCAGGAGGAGAAGATTCCCCAGGGGGGCTTCCCCGAGCGGGATCTGGCTGACCTCAAGTCCTCGCTAGTCAACGAGTCCGAAGGCGCGGGCAGCAGCGGCCAAGCCGGGAGCGGCCCGGGCCAGACAGAGGTGAGGGGGAAGCCGAGGAGGGGCTGCTGGGTAGCTGGGGGCAGCCGGGGGCTACACAGAGTGCCTCCCGCGCCTCCTGAGCAGTCTTGGGTGCTCCCTTCTTACTCAGGAGTCTCCCCCCCCGCCCCTCGCCTCTGTCTCTGCCCTGCCCCGGTTCTCTTTCCCTCCTCTGCCACTCTCCTTCCCCCGCGCTCTCATGTTCTCCTTGTCTCCCTCGATATTGGTGGCTGTCTCTGTCTTTCTGTCTCACATATATGTATCAATTTCTTTTTCCTGTCTCTTTCCGTCTCTCTTCCTCTGTCTCCTTTCTCTCTCTTTTTCTCTGTCCTTTTCTCTCTATTTCTCTTTCTCTCGGTGACTGTCCCTCTCTGTCTCTGCCCCCTCCTCTCTCTCAGGCGCTCCGGAGAGCTCAGAACTCCCAGAGGCTGTATCAGGACAAACTCCCAGATGCCTTGGAAGAAGGTGAGTATGGGGACCGTTCAGGCCCACCCACTGACTTTCAACTTACTGCCACCATCAGCAGCAGCACTTCAGGGCCCCTGGGAGGGGGCGGGGACCGCCGGAGGGATGTAGGAGAGCTTTGCCTCCTTCCCCCCAAATCAAAGTGGAGAGTTGTCAGAGGCTTAGATGGGGGACTATTGGGGGCGGGCTTTCAGGCCTCGGGGCACCCCCCCCCGACAGAGTCATTTCCTGTCCACTGACCTTTCTTAAGAATAAACAGACCCACTCCCCCCAACCTCCACCCCAGGTGACTGAAAAGCTGAGGTGCTTCTTGGGGGGGAAAAGTTGGGGACACAGTAGCTGGCCAGGGAGGGGATTGGGGATGAGCGATCACTTGGGGATCCAAGGCTGTGGAGCTGGGTGATTTTGCAGGGTCCCCAAGACAGACACCTTTTCCCTGGTGGATCCCCCCTCCCATGCTTCTGTGTCCACTGACTCCACACACCCCAGGAACCCGCATGGCAACTTATTTTAAAAAACATTGATTTTAAGAAAAAGCAGAAAGATCCCCTTCTTCTCCCCCTCCCCCTGAACACTTCCAGAGGGGCAGTGTGTCTTACAGCCTCTGGTTTCTCAGGCCTCAAGGCCCAGGACGGCAGCGGCGTCGGGATGTACAAAGAGTCTGTGTATTCGGGCTACAATCTGCTGGTGCACTACCCGGCCAACGGAGTAAGTGCAGGAGCTGGAGCTGGAGCCGGAGCAGGAGCCGGGTCTGGGACAGGAGCCGGAGCCGGGACTGGAGCTGGAGCGGTCTCCGGAGCTGGGCAGCCGCTGGTAAGTCTTGCCTCTTAAGTTTATCTCTTCTCACTCTGTCTAGCGCTTCGGACTCTTTGGCCCTAAGTGTATGCTGACAGGTGGAGAACGTTTGCTCATCAAAGAGGGGGAAAAAAAAGCTTCTAGGAAAGAAGAGTCCTGGGCCCAAACCTGGCTAGAAGCCTGATGCACTTCCAGCAGTCACAACTTTCTGTGAGCCTCCTCAGGCCCTGTTTTCAGCAGGGGACCCTCGGATTAAAGGGACAGAAGGGAAAATTGGACACCCGACCAACTCTTCTTCCCCATCCAATCATACAGCTTTCTGTGCAGGGGATTTCTTGGTTTGTCCAGTGCCTTCTTATTTTAGGAGCCATCTCCCACACGCATACAGGCCCTATTTCTAGTGAGATCACTGGGGCTAAACAAGTCAGAGAATTTCATCTCCATTCCAAAGTCGGGATCTATCTAACCCTTTGAAGGTTTGAGCAGGGCTGAGAGGTTGTGCCAAGCAAGGTGATTAAAAATTCCGATTAAAGAATTCTTTCCTAGCTCTACTCAGAAGGACCAAAATTAAAACTGGGAGTTACTTCTATCACTTCTGAAACTAAAAAGGCTTTATAAATTACAATTTATAGGCTTTGAGGAATTTTGCATTCTGGGAAACTTGGCTTTCTGATGGGGTCGCTTTTGATAAATTTGGAGAGTAGGGGCTGGAGGAGGATGGGAGCAGTTCCTGCTATGTCTGTGCAGGCATTAGTACTTACAGTGGAATCTTTGATTTGAGTACAGCTTCAGAGATGTGCAAAACAGCAGGGTAAGAGCCAGAGTCTGCTAGGAGCCCAGCTATTATGGCAGAAGGCCTCTGCCAAGAACACACCCTTTTCCCTCCTCAGTGTTAGGGCACCCAGGCTAGGCCAGCTGGCTGCTCTGTTTGGGGACACCTGGGAAATAGACCATATATGCCCAGCCAGTAAGGGGTGTGTATGTGTGTGTGTGTGTGTGTGTGTGTGTGTGTGTGTGGGAAATCTGAGAGAAATTTCATTCTCTATATCTTCCATTACTGTTCATTAGCTGGTACCTGGATTTTTTTTAGGACAGCTGTTTGTGAAAAAGCCATACACGTACCCTTCCCATTCTCTAATCCCTATGTAGTGTCTAGGAATTGGAGTCTGTATGTGTGGGTCTCCTGTGCTGGGATGGATTGGGCAAATCTTGGGCAAATCTGTTTAATACTTTTAAAGTCTTTGGTGTACACTGAAGCGGAATACTTCCACTGTAGAGCTGGACTCTGCTACTTACTACTCTTCTGACTTGGGACAAATCACTTGGGTCTCAGTTTTCTTATTTGTAAAAGGAGGGAGTTGGACTAGAAGATTATCTCTAAAGTGTTTTCCAGCTCTTCACCTTGTGAGCTCATGTACATATACATGAGCTCATCTTGGCATAATGTATGTATTCCTGCAAAATGTATATAAGTTGAATTTTCAGAAATAGATTCCTGTTTATCATGCACCAAGAAAGCCTATTACTTAAAGGAATTTGGCAGCAGGTCTGTTAATAACTATTTTTAAGGTGTTATTTCTTCAGTTTTTTTTGGGTCTCCTTTAACAAGCTGTTGACTTGTTTTTCATGATTTTCTTGCATCACTCTCATTTCTCTTCCCAGTAGGTCTGTTAATAACTAATAATCTTCAGAAAGATTCTTAGATCATCTCCTAATTTTTGGACATCTAAATCACCATAGACCTTGTTGTCTCAAAGTGGGTGTATGCCCATTTGTCTCATAGTACAATAAAATCTCGTTAATTCAGACTCTACTAATTTGAAATTAGTCATCATTCAGAAGAGGTTGGTGTGACTTTCACCCTTCTTTACCCTAGATAATGCACTATCTTAAGAGAGAAATATCAGTCAACAAACATTTATTTTTAAATAGGCAAAAAATTATATTTGCTCTCAAAGATCTCAGCCTGATGGGGGAAATAATATACAAACAACTATGTACAAATGAGACGTACAGTGTGGGATACATTGAAGATCATCAGCAGGGAAGAGGCACTAGCATTAGGAGTGATGGGAAAAGGCTTTTTGTAAAAGGTGAAATCTTAGCTGGGACTTGAAGGAAGCCACAGAGGCTAGGAGACAGAGAGGAAGAGGGAGAGAATTCCAAGCAAGGGGAACAGACAGTGAAAATGCCCAGAGCTGGAAATGAAGTGTTTTATGTGAGAAGCACCAAGGAAGCCAGTGTTAACCAGATCAGAGAGTATGGGGTGGAAGGAGGAGAGGGTATACTGTATAAGAAGACTGAGAAGATAGGAGGGAGCCCAGATTATAGAGGGCGTTGAAAACCAGAAGATTTTATATGTGATCCTGAAGGAATTGATAGTGTAACTAAAGTTATAGGGAGGAGTGTTTAAACTATTATCATCTTAATCCAAGGAACTGCCAAATGGTGGTAATGCATAAAGCTAGCACTCTGCTAACTGATACAAGGACAAAAACTGAACAGTCAAAGTCAAAGCATTCACAGAGCTTGCTTTCTGCTGGGCAGATGCAACAGATACAAAAGTTAATGGGAAATAGATATAAAGGGACAATATGTGTAACAGATAGAAACACAAGTTAATAGAAAGCATTTACAAAGAGACAATATTTGTAATAGACAGAAACAGCCTCAAGTTAGCCCTGGAATCAAGGGTTCTACCTCTGACCCAGCTGGCAGTCATTTAACCTTTTAGTGCTCAGGGCGACTCTTAAAGATCCCAAGGTGCAAAGCAGGTGTTTGGGGTACACTGGTCAGGAGAATTTCCTCACTGAGAGCTCCTTATGCCAATGAAACTACAGGTCCCCCTCCCTCCCGCATCTCACCCTCCATACAAAGTGATCTGGAGAAGGAGAGGGGGCTGGCAAGTAGGGCTCAGTATATCTAACCACCAGGAAGAATTTTAGGAAGACTATTTGTTTATAAATTACAGATTATTATTTTCTAGTCCTTAAGCGGTCAGCAATACCAGTAGCCTAGTTTGAGCTAAATATAATTGAAAGAATCTTACATTTATATATATATATATATATATATATATATATGTAGTTGTATGTGTGTATATATACTACAGACTACATCTATATGTTTATACACACACACACACACACACACACACACACACACATACACTATAGCCTGTTCAGGCAGCTAGATGGCGCAGTGGATAGAGCGCTGAGTTGGCGTCAGCTGGCTGAGTTCAAATGTGACCTCAGATACTCTCTAGCTGTGCAACCCTGGGCAAATCATTTAACCCTGTTTGTCTCAGTTTCCTTGTCTGTAAAATAAGTGGAGAAAGAAATGGCAAACAACTCCAGTATCTTTGCCGAGAAAACCCCAAATTGGGGGAGGGGGCAGCTAGGTGGCACAGTGGATAGATCACCAGCCCTGAGTTCAAATCCAGCCTCAGGCACTAGATGTGTGAATCTGGGCAAGTCATTTAACCCCAATTGCCTACAAAAAAAAAAAGACGAAAACCCCAAATGGGGTCATGAAGTATCAGATACAACTGAAAGGACTGAACAACAGACTGTTCCCTAGTTTCTCCTTTGCCTTCACAGCATCCCAGTAAGTAAAGTATTTGTGTAAATAAAGATGTAGAGTGAGGGAAGGTATGTGAAAATCATGCGTACTATACAATTTCAAGAAAATATCATTATCACAATGCTAACTTAAATGTTAACTAATTTTTCTCAAAAAGAATACCTAAATCAGAATAATTCCTGAACTGCATTAGGAAGTCAGGAGCCTGGGTTTCTCATCCTTAATCCATCAGTCCATTGTATAACCTTGGGTAGATCCCACTCTGGGCCTTTGTTTCCCCATTTATAAAAATAGAGTTGACTAGAGGGCAGCTGGGTGGTACAGTGGATAGAGCACCAGTCCTGGAATCGAAAATACCAAAGTTCAGATCTGACTAGAAGCTTACCATCTGTGTCAGACCAAGACTCACTTTGTACCACTAACCAGCCAATGTTCTCCAGATCACCAGCCAGGACTTCCTTCTCTTTGGGAGCTCCGTTGAGGTGGGATTTGGTTTTTTTTTTGGGGGGGGTTATACTAAACCTTCATCTCTTTAGAAATCTCTGTTGAGAGATTGCCCTGTTCTTTTGAGGCAAGTCACTTAACCCCTGCCTGCATAAAACTGGAGAAGGAAATGCAAACTACTCTAGTATCTTTGCCAAGAAAACCCCATGGGTAGTATGGTCCATAGGAACACGAAGAGTCAGACAGAATTAAACAATAAGAAAGAGGCTCTCGAGGCAGCGAGGTGGCGCAGTGGATAGAGCACCGGACCTGGATTCAGGAGGACCTGAGTTCAAATCTGGCTCAGACACATAACGCTTACTAGCTGTGTGACCCTGGGCAAGTCACTTAACTCCATTGCCTAGCCCCCCCCCCAAAAAAGAGGCTCTTTTATGTCTCTACTCACTCAAACATTACATTTTCTATGATTCTATGAAAGGTCAGTGACTTTATATGAAATCTAACCATGAACAGCTACCAATCAAAGCTATGACTTAGAAAAGCTGTTGAAAACCTCCAGTACATTAGATGGATCATTTAAAGAGGACTTGCGGAAGAAATGGAAAGAAGGTAGTGATGTGTACTTAAAAGAACACTGAACCTAGTGGTGGGTGAGACCTTGCTTCAGAGCCTGTATCTAATCAGGTGAGATCAGGGACAAATCGCTTGATCTCTCTGAGTCTGCTTTGAGACCCATAAAATGGGGAACCAATAATAGAACTATGCAGGGACAAATAAGATAACATGTGAAATGCTTTATAAACTTTAAAGAGCTATATAAATGTCCGCAATTATTGTAAGAATCAAAGGAGGAGAAGCGTTGTGATTGAACCACTGGAAGGACTGCCAAAATCCATGAGACGGAGGTACTCAAGTACTGAAGTCAAGACATCTTGAAGTATTAGATTGAAACACTGAGTGGCAACCGTGTTTCTGTCTCCATAGATGAGGAT